TCTTGAATCTTTCATGGAAAGACAGTCCTGTTACTGCCCAGGACAAGACTGAAGTCTCTTACCACTTTAAGCATTACTGTTTGGAGCAGGGAATTGCACTTGTGTGCCAAATACAGAAATACCTCTTCTCTAAAGTATACTTTAATCAGAGGCTGCAAGGCAATTCTTTTTTTTTTATAATGAAGAAAAGGTAATAACTGATTTTCCATACTCTGCATCTTTAAGGAAAAGGAACTTTAATGTACAACTTGGTAGGACTCCAGGCACAAGAGGAAATGGGTTATAGCAGTTGTGACTCTGCAGAGCAGATGTTTTGGTTGGCCTGGCTATCAACCATCTGACTCATAATAAATTGTCAGTTCCAGTAAATTCCCAGTTTTCAATTACAGTAGGTAGGATATGAGAAAACAATGTCATTTAGATAGTGTATTTAAAGTGGTTTTGATAGTAATTTTCATAAACAACTCCTACTAACTTTGTAAAAAGATTAAGGATCTTGGAAAGGCAGCAGCTGTAAACATTGAAATATGCATTTAAATGTAAATTGAGATGAATAGAAATGAAAACTAACAAATGGCTGTTAACACAGTGCTGATACAATTGGAAGTAGAATTTTAAGTTTTTCTTTGGAGTTTTGTGATACTCAAAGTCCATTCATGAGGTATATGGGGGAAACATTTCTAAATGCCTTCCAAACTTCCTTTTTCATTTCTTCTGTTCTTCACTTATATTTTCACATGGTCTCTTGTTCTTGAGTTTTGAAAATGCATACTTAATGAACCTTTCCTCTGCACTGGCTATGTAGAAAAAGGGTAAATTAAAATCAAATACCATGGGTTTTCTGTTTATGAAGTTATGCACAGGATTTACTTTTGTAAATAGTTGCTAGGTTTATGTAATAGGAAAAAAGCATATGGGTTGAAAATGTCTAGATTTTTTTCCTGATGTTCTTTTCTCACCTCAGTGCTTTGGAGGTTTAGACAAGGATAAGGTCCCATTGTGCAAAGTATTCTGTAAACATAGGAAACCCCTTGCAGTTCTTGAGAAAGAAAAATATTTATTTTCAATGTTAAGGGGTATATCCATTTTTTTCATATTTGATTTGAATGGACATTTTCATAAATGAGAAAAATACAAAAAAAAAGAAGTAGCAGCAAGGTGGCAGAAAGGAACCATGAAAATCTGTATTGGATCTTTTACATTGCGATGTTCTAGAAGCTGGGGTTTTTTTTGCTATCAAGCATGAGACTGTTGTGGAAAAATTAATAGGTATGCATTGTCACATGTTTGATCTCAAGCATTTTGACATTCAGTTTTTAAACCTCAAAATTCCTGTGGCCCAGATGGATTCTCTGTTCAGTTAGAAGTTCATTTTAATAATACCTTCTGTAGAGTCTTGTGTAGAAAAAGCTCTGTGAGTATAAAATGGCACTTTTATTTTGGCAGTTCTAACCTTGAAATTTGACATTTATAGAAAACTGCCATTCTGCATTCTTAAAAATCAGTTTTTCTTGAATATAAAATTAATTTGTTTAATAAAAGCATCTATTGTGTTGTGACTTACAAATTATAAGAAGAAAAAGCATGGATGCTTAAGTACTAAAAATTGAGATGTGACTTAAGTTCAGTAGCCTCTTTTTTTTTTCTCTTTCCTAAAAGGGTATCATATTGCCAAAGCAGTTGTATGTCGCTCTCTCTTTTGAAGCCAGCTGAAAAACAGGAATAGAGGTGACTTACTTTGCTGCTCTATTCAGATCTGGTCTATTTTTTAATATAAATACATGTGCAGAAATGGGAAAAGGGAAGATGCTGTCTGTGCAGGGTTTGATAGGAAGCATTAAAACAACATTTGTTGTTGGACACTGTGGTATAATGAAAAGATCTCAGCCCCTGTTCTGGGCAAATGTCGTGGCCTGGTATTAGAAAGTTCCATCTTCTCACCTAATCACTTACAGGTTTCAATAGATTACCGGGACTGAGATCACTGAAGGAGTTAAGTTGTAACTGGTTCAGACAACATCAGAAAAGTTTATTAGTTGAAAAGTTTTCCACAGTTTATCTGTAAGACATGTGGTTTTGTTTTATAAACGGCAGTTCTAACAGATACACTAATGTCAAATGCAGTTCTAGCAAGCAGCTTCTTCCATATATGAAGGTAACAAAGCCTGAAAGCAAGAAATGGTATGGTGTCAGATAGAAGGGAGTTTGTTATAAATCTGTGGCCACCTCAAAAATAAGCTTGAGCAGCTTCATGGTGTTACTGCACTGCATCTTTTAAAACCTACAGGAGTGCTGGTTTTGGTGTTTGGGTCTTTTTTAAGTAACAATTTTCATTTCTCAGGGTTATGAGAATGCATCCATTTGAAAAGTGGTAGTTCTAGAAGAATGCCAATTTTTTTACATGGATTTGCATTGGACAGTAGCTGTATGAACATAACATGGTGCTCTACTGGTAGCAGGAGTTGCAGTCATTTGTTGGGTGTATTTTTGTAAATGGAAAAATATCATGTCTCAATTTATTGCTCTTACTACACATTTCATTTTCCTGCAGCTTAACATGCAAAGATACAGAGATTATTTATGTGGTTGTGTGGGTTTTTTCCCCTGGCATGAGTCTTCATATAAAGTTCACTAGTGATCACAGAAAACATAATGTAATATTACTGTATATGTTAATGGATGCTGTAGTGGCATTCACCTAGTCTGTTTTGAAGTTGTTTTTTTCTGTTTCCTTCTTTTGACTTTGTTCAATCAGTAAGTACCTGATATTATTCCAGAAACTGGTCTTACACATGGTGTCAAGCTCTGTGTGCACATCTGTTTTTAGCACTAAGCATAAATGAAAGACTAAAGAGATGATTTACTGTCCATGGCAGAGCTGGATGTAACACTACAGGTGGGATCTCAGCAGAGCAGCAGGGCAGTATTCCCTCCGTCATCTAGCTGGCAACACTCCTTCAGATCTGGATGAAGTTGGCTTTCTGAGCTGCAAGTGCACATCACGTTACGTTGAGCTTCTCATCAACCTAACCATTTTATGTACCTGTCATCTCTTGAAGAATGCCCATTAAAATAAAATCTTTTAAATTGTTATTAGCATTAAAAGCATTGCTGTTTAATCTCTCTTAATAGTTCTTCTCGTTTGATTGACAATTAGCAAATTAATGGGAAAAGAACAGTTAATGCTATACTCAGCTTCAGGATTGAAAGCTGTTCCTTATTTAATTTTTTTCCTTAATGATGGAAATACATGAAATACTGAGGAAAAAGTCAGGGTGGATTGTACTCTTTGGTATATTTTGTTGTTATTTGTCATGTTAATAAAGGTTTTGTAACCTGTTCTGTTTTCTTTAGTCCAGATGGTAATGCCACTTAAAAACATAACACTTACACATAACATTTTGGGTCACGAGATCCTGTCCATTGCTGTTACAGGCAATCACATCACATAATGCCATCTGTAAACTGATCATATCACAACAGGACAACAGCTATTGTTTGTGCTCACCACTCATTTGGAGTGTTGTACTGCAACTTAGGGTTAAAACCATGCTCTGATTTCCACTCACAGTGTGCTCATGACCATTTTATAGACAGTTCTAAGAGTACAGTTTTCTTTCATTTGTCAGAAGTGAGCTGCACACCAAGGCAGAATTTAAGAAAACACTGTCAATTCTGTCTTATTCTTCATCTGAGACAATTAGGCTTTTTTAAGACTCATTCTTCCCTGCAGCTTGTCACTGAGTTTCTTGGCATGTAGTGTTCTGCACGTAATAGCTGATATGCAGCTCATCTCTCTGGACATGAACAGCTCCCATCCAGCCAGAGCTTCCAATGGCATAAGATCACCTTCCTGAAACCACTCAAAGCTCGCTTAACTTTTTTTTCTCCCCACATAGGGCAGGGCCTCCTAAGAATATTTTAAGTGGTTTGCCTGTTCCTTCCTCACAGCTGCCTGTAGGACAGAGCATACCAGAGCACTCTATACCATGTTGGTCCTTCTTTGAGCACATATCTTATTTCCTCTCCTATTTTTCCAAAATGGATAAAAACAAAGGCATCTTAACAAGTTTCTACATACATATGAACAAACATGTTGAAAGATTTATTTGTGAGCAGAAAGTGGCACTGTATTATTTGCTGTCAGTGAAGGTGACTGTACTGCTAACTCATTACTTTCTAACTAGAGGTCAAGAGAAGTTGTGCGTGACAGAAATACACTTGTTTGTACTGTATGTGATTTATGAATTAGAGGTCCTAACCAGAAACAGTTTGTTCTAGATGATCCCAAAGCTGTAACTGATTGTTCTGATATAAAGAAAGCCTCAACTGTGAATACATTAACTTGTATTTAGCATGCATGCTTTTTTTTTTTTTTCCTACTGTATTTTCCCGGAGTCTGCAGTCTTTGCTGAATGTAATGCATCAGTTTAATTTGCAGGAAACTGGGAGGCAGTGACATCTAAATATCAGTTTCTAATTGCAAAAATGTTTTTCATCCACAACAGGAGTTGACTACAATACACTGAAAAGTTTGAACCATAAACTACTTCAAAAAATTACAAATACAGAATGTGTGGTCATAACTCAGTAATATTACAACGTCTAAAAAAATTCTTTGGCATTTGCATCTGGTATCGAACTAGGAATTCCTAAAAATGAAATCTGTATCTTTACTGAAATTTATAGTTCACCAAATTGAAGAAGAGCTACAGTACTTCATAACTCATAACTCAGTAATTTTATTTTGATACATTAGAGGAAATTAAGCAGACCAAAATACCTTTAAAGTGCCAATATAGTAGGAAAGAATAAATTTGCAACCTGTTTTACAAGGGTTACTATTTAGATTTCTCACTTAAGCATCTCCTAAATAAATTAATATTTGACTTATTAGTTCTTATCTGTAAGATTTTAAATATTCAGTTTGTTATTTACCATTTTATCTTGCTTTTATATGTTTTATATATTTTTATGTTTATATGCTTTTTTACTCACAGGATGTGAATGAAGACCCTGGAGAAGATGTTGCACTTCTCTCCGTTAGTTTTGAGGACACAGAAGCTACTCAGGTTTTTCCTAAGCTGTTCCTCTCCCCACGTATTGAACAGTGAGTGAGAGTTTTTTTCTGGAATGTTTATTCTATTTCATTTTGGAACTTTTCAGTTTTTTCCTGATACATGTGATAACATAGTAGATGATAACATACCCTTGCTTTAAATTACTTAAAGCTATAGTGGTTGCTGCGAGTATATGTGTGTATGTGTGTTGGAGAAATGACAGATCTTCTCTCAGCTAGTTCTGTTTGCATGTGATAGTCTTGTAGCATCACAGTCTCTGAAAACCGTGCTTGTACTTTGCCATGGCAGTACATTTTGAATGCCTTCTATGGTACAGCATAGTGATAGCTTTTGTCGAGGGGAATCTAATTTTTTTTTGGGGGGGGGGGGGGGGGG